GCTCTACCCATACGTGAACTGCTTCTAGACTTTGACCTTCCTCTATTCTCTGAGATAAGTGCCTGTGAATCATTCTAAGATATTGCCAAACTTTTTCTTCTCAACTCCTCATTCAACAAACTACTTGTTACTTGACTCATAGTGACAATACCATCTCGCGTAGAATTACTAAGGGAAACCACCAGTGTCTCCCAACTTTCTGGTAATAAAATGAGAAGTAACAATGCCTGTAACTCATCATCAAGAGACATTTTCATAGAGGATAACTGGTTAGTAATACTCTGCATTTCATTCAAATGCTCAGCAATAGAAGCACCTTCTCTATATTTTAGGTTCACAAGTTTTCTGATCAAAAAAGCTTTATTGTCAGTTGTTTTTCTTTCATAGAGACTTTCCAATTTTTTCCAAAGAGAATATGCAGAAATTTCAGTAGAAACATGGTAAAAGACACTATCATCAAGCCACTGTCTAATAAACCCAATTGTTTTTCGATCTAACCTCTTCCACTCATCATCTGTCATAGTTGTAGGTTTTGCACTATCCCCTTGCAAAGGTCCATACAAATCTTTGCAATACAAAAGATCTTCCATTCTTGGTTTCCATATCATCCAATTATTTCCATTCAAATTAATCATGCAAGAAATATTACTGGCCTCCATATTCAAATACAAAAATTAAATCACCAAAACCCCGCTCTGATACCAGTTGATGGGGATATAAAGAGGAATAACCTTTGTATATGAACAAATACTAGAAAACCATAATACGCAACGGAATAAAATGGAAACACAATCAAACAGAACACCAAGATATACGTGGAAAACCCCTTCAATGTGAAGGGTAAAAACCACGGGGCAAACTAGAGATAATCCACTATGAGAATAATGAATATACAAATCTTAATCTCTTACCCAAAACCCTAGCAACAACCACAAGAGAATAATTGGGATACAAGGATCACGTCACTGCCTACAATATCTAAAACCTCCCCAAGTAATCACAGCAAGAGTCTACTGTAGATTTGATCTAACCTGAGATGAGAATTCTCACTGCTAGATGATTGAGAACAGTCTCTCTGTGTTGTCATTGTCTTCCTCCCTTTCTTTCTCTTCATTTTCTGTCTTATTCTCCTTCTCTCTTTGGAATCCCGTGGCTATCAAGATCTGCCTCGTTGCTACCTTTTTATAGCTTTTTTCTGCGTCTAAAACGTAGCCCCCACACCCCCCCTTATATTGATCTAGGGTTAGGTCAAAGGGGTGTGGATTGTGGGCTGATAAAGCTCACCATGGGCTGACCCCACTTTGGGCTGTCAGCCCAACAAAATCTTAGTTCATATATGCATTTTATAACAAGAGCAACGTACTGACATGTCCTCTATGAAATGAACATTAGAAACAGTTTCAGCACCATAAAAGTATCAGTTGTAGAATTCTGAAATAGGTATCCTCCAAAGAGAGTAGATCTTCCGGGAGACGTGTTGGACAAGTAAAAACACTCTCCTAGTCCGGTCAATCTGCCTCCACTTTTGTTCGTGTTCAATCCTGCAATTTCAAGCATAGGAAATGCTGTGAATTAGAGACCTCGAGTACTCTTCACAGAAAATTCTTACTGGCATTACTAAGAATTCCAAGGGCTGAAATACATGCATGCACGCTACTCGTCCTTGTATATTGTTATTAATCAAAATTTATATATCTAAACAAGTTTACATTCGTTTGAAGAGCATATGGCTTTGCATTAGGAAATGGAAGACATCTGATACCTCTTTCTTAGTTTTCTGACGGATTTCAGGATCATGCACTTGTGGCTCAGTGGGTTTGATCCTTCTCAACAAATCAATCTTTGAAGCCAGTGCTGAAACCTAAAAAGACGAAGAATTTAAGATTTATTGGTTAGCAAACCGAAGGTAAACAAATCATGTGCTATTAACCTTTTAAGAAATTATCAGAAAGCTTTTCTTATATGTAACAAGCACACCTACTGCATTATCCAAGATGAAACAGAACGTGTAGAAGGAATAGGTAAACACACTTATATCATCCAGGATCAAATCTTCTTTGGGGGTTCAATCCATCTAGTAGTCTAAGGTTTGCATATCACATGGAACCAAGTAAATACCGTAGACATTTGTTCAATAGCTGCAAACCTGAGTTTAGGAGACCATAAAACAGAAAAGTTGAATAGAAACAGTACATATATGAAAAGGAAGACAAAATCTTCCATGATTGCAATGAAATCATACTGCTATTTATGCGCAGTGCATTCCTGGACTCTGATACAGCTACCCAATAGTAAAAGAAAGCCCGCAAACGAAAGAAAGAGAGAAAGCCTGCCAAGATCCATGTCGTACCATTGCTTTGGATTCTTCGGTTTGCTTGATCAGATTATTGGTCCTCGATGTCAGCTGGGCCTTCTTGTTCTTGCAGTCCCACAGCCGGTCTTCGTTCTCGCGCCTTTCCTCCTGCAGCCATCACAACAAATTGAGCACGAGAACAGAGGAGGATTGGCGAGGGGGCAGAGAGGACGAACCGGGTACCATTCCTTGCCGTGTATCCGCATATACATGCGGTGCTCGACCTTTTGAATTTGCAGAATGAGACGGCGGATTTCCTCCTGACGGGCGACGATCTGAGCCTGCAAGGTTGACGACCCTTCAGTCGGAGGATCCCCCGACGAGGAGCTCTCGCCGATTTCATGGGTATGTCTTGGGAGGAGCGGCACTTTCGATGTGGATGACATTGCTGCTCTCGTGGTTGGAAACAGAGAGTTAGACCATTCTGATAAAGGAGAAGAAAACAAAGAGAGAAACCAAAGAAGACGCCGAGGAAAGAGCTCAGGAAGCAAGCAAGAGATGGGGGAGCAAAGGAACAATGTTGAGGCTGAATACTGCACGATGAGAAGCTTTACACGACAAGACGAAGGGACCGAAGTCGTTACAACGAACGTAACAAACTAAACTACATGACAAGACTCCCACGGTTAAAACATTAATTAGTTAACATTCTTTTATTCATATTTTACAAGAGGAAAAATTATATATATATATATAATTTAATTTGGATGGTGAGTACAGTTAATGCGTACATTATCGAGTTGGGTTGGGTAAGAAAATAAGTTACGCTAATAAACTGCGACTTCATACGTGTGGGCCAATTGTGATGTGTTGGCTACATCTTTCTACTGATTGCTCCTCTCTCATGAGCTAGAGCGGTCCGACTAGGTCCAACAAGATTCGTGCTCACGAGATCCACATATGACCTACGCCCATGATCAATGTCGAATTCATTTGGCTTTTGGCGCCACAATCCCGTTTGCCTCCGCTTTCACAGTCGAATCAATTCGACTGTATTCTATACGTATTAAAATACATTTAATTCGATTTAAATGGATCGTATAAATCCGAAGATAGAAAAAGGAAAAAAAAAAGAAATCAAAACGATTCGACGCCATTATTATGGAACGACCGAAGCCGAGCTCGTCACGTCACTTGGTGCGCAGGCGAGCGAATCCGGAGACCGGTCAACTGCCTTAAAAGGAGAAGCTCGACCCAGAGATGGGGCCGCCCGTTTACACTAATTGTGGAAACCAAATAAAGGAGAGCACTGTCGAAAAAGGAAGCACGAGAGCGTAATAAATAAAGGGAAAGCACAAAGAGCCAACACATTTGAAGTTTGAATGAATACATTTATGTCGCCACCCCAAACTGCCCTCCGCTTTAATTCTTTCAAACCAATAAGATGATTCAAGTAGGTGGCATTTAAGGGAATAAAGTTAAAAGGGAGACCTGTTTGTTACATGGTAAACCAAAACGATGAAAGGACAAGGAGGACATCATAAAAGAATTAATAAACAGGGGAGGCTCGAACCCATCCACGGCAGCGATCCGCGTGTTCCATTGTTACACCACTTCTTACCGTCCGATGGAGAGAATGTATTATAATCTAGACCGTCCATTTTACCTTTGCCCTTTCTATTTCTTTTCTATTGTATCCCTTCCGAACACCCTTTTAAATGCCACCCCCACCCACCATTAACGTGTCTGAAAAGCCAAAGCGAGTCAAACTGAGCTCCGCTCTCACTCCCCCATGGCGACCGAGGAAGTCAGCAAGCCTCCGAGCCATCCTACTTACCCTGAGGTACCGTTCGCAACTTTGGTTGACCTTATTTGCTTGTTTGCTCCGGTGGATGCTAAGGATCGCCTTCTCGATCGGGGTTGCAGATGATAATGGCGGCGATCGAGGCGCTGGACGAGAAGGGCGGGTCGAACAAGTCGGCGATCGCTAGGCACATAGCATCGACGTACCAGGACCTGTCGGAGTCGCACGCGTCTTTGCTCACCGCGCACCTCGCCCGCATGAAGGAGAGCGGTGAGCTGCTGTTCGTCAAGAACAACTACATGCGGCCAGGGGCCGACGTGCCGCCCAAGCGCGGGCGCGGGCGGCCGCCGAAGCCCAAGCCGGAGCTGCCTCCGGGCGAGACAGCGGCACCGCGGCCACCGCCACGCCCACGCGGCCGGCCGCCAAAGCCTAAAGACCCTGTCGCCGCGGCCGTCGCGAAGGCCACCAGCGGGATGCCCCGGCGCAGGGGCCGCCCCCCGAAGAAGGTTGCTCGGTCGGCGGGGACGGAGGCAGGGTCTTCAACCGCCCCTGCGACAGCGGGAGGAGGGGTTAAGAGGGGAAGGGGGAGGCCGCCAAAGGTGAAGCCAGCAGTGGCGAGCGATGACGCCGTCTAAGTGAAGACTGTGGAGTGGAATGTCGGGTCAACCCCTAATTGATGACTTCAAACTTACTGTTATTGTCGTTTTTTCCTCCCTTTTTTACTTTAATTTATTGTCTATTGCTGTTAGGTTAATTTGGTCGGGCTGTTTGGGGGAAGGCGAAGATGGATGTCTGTAACGTGTACATTATGGTGGGATGCCGTGGTTGACTACGCTATTGGAATTGACCGACGTGATCAGTGTTGTGTTTACTCCATTCTTGTGTTGTTTCTTCTTCTTCAGAAGCTTGACTCTTTACTTTGTCTTGAACTGTTGACTCTTGAGTCCACCGGTTTCGTTTGGTCAACTTGGTGAACTTTGATCGACCCCAAACCTGTAAAGCCAGTGTACTAGTTTTAACTTTTTTTCCCTGTTCTTATTTATGACTAATGTTTTAGATTAGTAATAAAGACATGTCAGATTAAAAATAGTACTAATTTTAGGTATCATAATTTCACTTTATAATTCAAGTAATTGTCATAAATATCCAGTGGGAATTCCCACGATGATTTCTTATATGGTTATCAATCATACTAAATGTGAAGGACTATGTCCATCCTCATACCAGCTATTATGATTTGGCTCAATAAATTAACTGATTCATTAACGTTCATATGATGACTTGTGAATCAAAGGGAGTCATGTCACATATTTCGTTAAGTTTGTTGTAACCACCTCCCTCCCATTCCTCTTGCTGTTTAAAGCTTCTCTTGAAGTAGTCTTTCGACTCTCTAACTCTGTCCCTCTCCTCCCTCTGCGCCCCATCTCTTCCTTCCTTCTTGAGCTCAACGTATTCCTCAGCTCTAGTCCTTCGTCTTCTATCTAACTCCGTTTCCAGCTATAAGCCCACCAATGGCGATCGCCTCAGGAGAAGACGGCAGTTCCATTCCAAAGGACGGCGGGAGATCGAGCTCGTCGTCGGCTGGTTTTCTTGCCGGGCAGCCCCCGCTCTCCCCAGGCCACACCAAATGGCCCACCGAGAAATCGACGGCTCGTGATCCGGCTGAAGCGAAGGTGCCCTCCTTGCGGCTGTTGCTGGCTGCCTGTCAGAAGGAAGTCAACCTCGTCAGCGAAAAGATCAGTCTATTCGAGAACCAAAAATCGGAGGAGTTCGGCTTGCAACACTACCCCGTTCGTCCTCTTCCTCTCGGCTCCGGTTCTAATTGATGGTTTCTTGGATTACGCATGACCTCTGTTGTGATCCAAATGCAGAGGAGATCGCAGGAGTACGAAAGGAAGCTGTCGGAGTGCGAGAAGATGATAGCCGAACTGAGACCAAAGCTCCACCAGCTGCTCCCCGACACCAGACGCATCGAAATAAAGGTACGAGACGGATCTTGAGCGCAAGAAATAAACGTTCTGTGGCTTTCTTTAGTTTCTACTGATGTGGTCTTTCTTCTATGATCTCCTTCTTTTTCTTCTCCGATATCGGGAAATTCTTGGATTCTATAGGTCGACACGTTGACTTCTAGGATCGAAGCGTTGAAGAAAAGAGCCTCTAAACCGCAAGAACCTGATCCATCAGAAAGCTGAAAAGGAGGTATCAGATGCTTGCATCATTCAACAGCTTCGAACCGCTCATAAATTCTTCTTCTGCAAAGTTAATGTTGTCATTAGCAAGTAGTGGTACTGTCAGTATGATGATATATCAGGTTGCTGTTATCTGAAGCTTTGGTGTTGGTTTAGCAGTCATTCCATCTTCGCATCCAATTTGTGCAGTATGAAGCGTCAAATCATCTGTGGAGGTGGATTGACGAAGCTTTACAGATCATTTTTACCTCTCCCACACATTTCTCCTGGAAAACCTAATGATACTTAGAGGCAATCTGTTTTAGTACTCTGCAACAGATATCTTTTGTGCTGCTAAAGCTGTTGATTGTGATTCCACATGTTAGTACAATCAATGTTCATATTGCAAATTGCTTCAAGGATTTGAACACAACTAAAAACTGACTCAGTTGAAGTCTTCTAAAAAGAGTGTTGGGTAGTATCATCTTCTCGTCTTTGATTTATATCAAGCATCAAATATTGTTTGAATGTTGGGTTATAAGTGTTAGAAATGATATTATTCAAAAAAATAAATCATGATAAAATTATGATTATTCTGTTAATATTTTGATAATATGTTATTATGATTCTAAATTATAAAAATTATAATAACATATTATCACAATTTTATCAAATAACGAGGATTATAATTTTAATGTGATCTCCAATATTATGAAATAATTTAGATAAATATTTTATATTTATTATTGATTTTAAAAAATATATAATTATCATATTTTGTAAATGCTTTTTGTGTACAAGCATTTCTTTCTTGTAAGCTGTTTTAGGTTTTTTCTTCTTTACTTTTCAATATGGTTCGTAATGACTGTTCCACTAGCCATTTATCTTAAATCATTTTCAACTCTTTTACTCTTGAAAATACTCTTCTTTATTAACATTGTGATTCAGGATCCTCTCAAACTCATGTCAACAAACTATACTCAATTTTATTCTCTTTTAATTGTTATGATTTTATAGGTTATGTAGAAAGTATCATCACTTGTCATCCATAAACAATTACTTGAAGTTTTTTTTGGATATGTTAATATCATTTTCTTATAAGTCCTATCATTATCTTTTTTTTCCCTCAAATTATTTCATACATAGCATTTACAAAATCCTCTCATGAAATGTGGTCCAAGAATATAATAATATATGTTAACCAATCTTGTGATTATTTAATGTAACTTCGAAAAACTCACTTCGAGTTTCCTAAGGGTACGTAATCTATTTCTGGCTATACTTAATATGTTAAAACTCAAGCAATTATATTTGGTGTGGTTGATTCACTTTATCATAATTCAGAGATTATTTTTATATATTAAATGGTCTTGATTTAGATTATCTTGGCTATGGTTCATGCTCATGATAGTTTTATATTTTTAAAAAAAATTATAATAAGTTTTATGACTATAAAACTTAAAAGTCACCACTTTGTGATGTTATTTTTATCGTAACCAATTTTGCTAACAACATTAATTCTAGCAACAAATGTAAGATCTACAATAAGTATTCGTCCAAACAATCATTCGGGAGACAACATGTAATAAAATCACAACAAAAATATCAATAAATCTGAGCAACAATTTAACAATAAAGTGACATATCAAATATATGACATGTCAGG